TGTGATTTTATGGAGGATTAACACTTGAATGCATGAATTTCCAGATTTGGGTTTTCATTTCTTCTCTTTCTGCCCGGTTTTAGTACTCTATGTTAGAGGCCGAATCAGTTCTTACCCAAAACATGAAAGTTATAGAGAATGATGTTTTCTAGTTACCTGTAAAATTTCAGCTCAATCCGAGCTTGGTAGCATGTGAAAAGTCCAAAATACCCTTACTGTTTTAAGTATTTCCTAAGCAGTCCGTGTGATCAGTTAAGTCCAGTTTATCCCGTTTTTTGACTAGGATTCATTCTGATTTATTCAGAAAAGCCATTCTACTTGGTTGCATGCTTTTTGGTCTCCATCTATCATTTATTCTGTTGCAGCTATAATTACAGAAAGGATCTGTTTTTGATAATTTGGCCTCTTCTTTATTAGTTACTAGATTTGCTAAAAAGCTCCTAGTTTAAATTTAGCACCATCAAATTGTACTGTGAAGGTGCATCCTTGAACCAGGTTCCAAGTTGCTCTAGATTGGGTGAATGTTTTTTCTTCAGTAGTGTCATCCTATAACCTGACAAAATGATGTGAACCTGAGAGATGTTTTTACCTTGCATAAATACAGAATCAGCAAACTTTGATGGAAGTTTTACATTATTCTTACATTTGAACTGGTCTTATGTGCTGAGGCGATTCATGTGCTCTCAGCTGATTCATGATTTCAATTACCATCATTGTGTGCTGACACATAAATTTTTTCCATGCCATTCCTTAGATGCTTATATGGTAATGGCAAGACATATATTTTGATGTTTTAGCTCTCTTCTTTGCAATGTTATGTGTAACATTCTGTAACCTTTTATGTGGAAGCTGCCAAGAATTTATACTTTGAAATAGCTTTTACTTCTTTCCCCAGAGTAATAGGTTCCTTGATAAAATTTCAGATGCGAAGATATGCAGCATTTTATGACTTCAACCTTGGAGTGGTACGATCTGATAACAAATCATCACGGAGGTTGCTTTGGTGCTGCTGCATTAGTTAAGCACATCTTATGGTGACACACTACTATGAAATAAATAGAGCTACAAAGCATTTGAATGTATTAATGCACAGATTCCCATATGGAGATTCACACACTCCCGCACTAAAGTTTTGATATGATTTTCAGTGAAAGAAGAAGCTTTATTCACTTACGTTATACATAAATTTTTGGCTAATTACTTAGAATATGGCCGAGGAAAAGAAAATTCAGACATCTACGGCTCTAACAGGGATATGTTGCATACTTATGAGTGCCGGACTGACACAGCCCGGTACCCAAAAGTGAGTCAAATTTTTTTTTTGACTCTGACATAGCCCGGCAGCGAAATTTTTTTTTTTATAAAGCAGCCCGGTAGCCGACAACCTCTGCACAGAGCTGGCAGCCCGGCAGCCAGTCCAATTTCTTTAAAAAAAAATTCCAAGAGTTGTCGGCTACCGGGCCAGCTTAACAGTTTTGTCCAACTTTGTCCTGTTATGCTTTTCTCCTTCTCCTTGTGAGCAAGCAATGAACTTTAATGGCGGAAACAGATATGAATTTGAAGTACCTGGAAGGTCAAAACCCTTCATCAGATGAATGGCAAGAGTTTCCATCAGAGAATTCTTTAAGATCAGTGGCTCTTTCCTATCTCATCCTAATCCCGCCCTCAAGGGCATCACATGTTTCCTCCTTATCACATTTTAGATATTCTCCTAAAACCCATTCTTTATATAAAAAAATTTTGGACTATCTTGACTCTTGCCAGAGCTTGACCCATCTTTTTCAAATCCAAGCAAACCTAATAACTTCCGGGCTTCTTCAACACCCATCATTTTCAGGCAGATTTATGAAGATTTGCTCTCATTTTTCTGTATTGGATTATGTTGTCTTGGTCTTTAGGTGCATTGTTTTTCCTAGTACTTTTGTTGTGAATACTGTCATAAAAGCCTACGCTTGCAGCTCTGTACCACAAAAAGCTGTGATTTTTTATTTTGAATGTGGGTTTTTTCCAGGTAGTTTCACCTTCCCACCTCTTTTTAGTGGTTGCGCAAAGTTGAAGTGTTTGAATTTGGGCCCAAAAATGTCATGGGCAAGTTGTGAAAAATGGGGTTGATGGTGTTTTGCCGGTTCAGAATTCTTTGATTCATTTTTATGCTTGTTGCGGGCTTATGGAATCTGTTATGAAGATAGTTGTAAACATGTCTGTCAGGGACGTGGTGTCTTGGAATACCATAATTGATTCTTTTGCCAAATTAGGTGAATTGGACTTGGCACATAAGTTATTTGATACAATGTCCCAGAGGAATGCCCCAAAAGCGAGTCAATTTTTTTGGGATTTTTTTTTTTTTTTTTAAAGTTGTCCAGCTTTGTGCAGAGGTTGTTGGCTACGGGGTATGTAGCCGACAACTTAAAAAAAAAAAAAAAAAAATTCCGCTGCCGAGGAGTCAGAGTAAAAAAAAAAAAAATTTGACTCGCATTTAGGTACCGGACTGACACAATCCAGCACCCATAAATATGCAACATTTCCCTGTTAGAGTCGTAGATATCCGAATTTTCTTTTCCTCAGTCATATTCTAAGTAATTAGCCTAAATTTTTATGGTAATATCTACTGTTAGTATGTAAAAGTATGCATGAGAAAAAATCCCACTTAGTATACTTCATTTCCTTGTAAGGCAGGAATGTGAATTACTGCCGTGTAGCGATGGTGGTTTGAGGCAATGTTTTAAAACCCGGACCGTCAATTGAACCGGTGAAGTGAAAGGGTCGAGGTTCAACCGATCGGACCGGTTCAACCTCGGTTCAATGAATTTTTAAAAAAATAATTTATATAAATATATATATGCACAAAATAAGACATGCAATAGACTAATTTAAAACTTTATATGATGAAAAGTTTACTATTTTTGAATAACTTGGATTTTCAAAAATAAAATTTTTAAATTATAAGTTAAAACAAATAAATTTCATTTCAATTTCAATTATATCTACCAAAATAATCTTAAATCTATCCCAAAAATATCACAATATTTTGAAATTATACAAAATTCACGTCTATGAGAATTTGACATTGTAAACTTAAATTTTAAATTTATGCCTCTGGGATTTAGAGATTGCAATTTAAAAAAGAAAGTTTGGAGTTCGAAGGAAGTCAAGAGAATCGAAAATAGAAATGCAAACTTGATAAGAAACAAAAAATGAGATAAAAGTGAGTGGTTGTAGCATTAAATAATTTGGGTTAAAAAAATAATTCTTTTTTAACTTTTTTCAAATTTGTGTTTTCAATTCGGCCATTTGACTTTCTCACTCAGTCCATATTCATTGGAAAGAAAAAAATTCTCCATATTCACATTTTTTGTCCACTAGAAAATTGTTATTAGCGCCCAATTATTTATCAATGTTCCCTTATTTAATATTTATTTACCAGTCAGTTAGGTAACAATATCCTTATTCAATGTTACTACTTACGATATTGTTTTGAGATTGTAATTGAAATTAAAATTTTTAAGTATTTTGTTTATTCACAAAAATTTAAAAAAAAATCAAGGAGTCATGATGTAAAGTACGAATGTGTACAATGTAATTATAAATATTTTTTAAAATAATAATTACTTATCAATTTTTTTCCTAAATACTTGTCTACAGTGTCAATTGAGCAAGAATATCCCTACTCAATCTTTCTATCTATTATTGCATTTCAACCATTATTTTATTGTGAGATTGTAACTGAAATTAAAAGTCTAAGTATTTTTATTTATTTTCACAAATTAAAAAATCAAGGGGATTACATTAATAATCAAGGGGAGTACATTAACAAACATAGATATACCAACAATATATTTGTGATGTAAAGCACAAGTGTTTTTGATGTAATTAAAATTTTTGAAAACAATAACTTATCTAAACAATTCAATTTAGTTACCAAATTAGATTGTCATTTTTTTTAATTTTTTATTTTTTCACAAATTTATTTCTTGATTATTTTTATTCTACACATATTAAATCGTTGTCGTACATTTTCTACAAAAATTTAAAAAATAATTTGAAAAAGCTATTTTATTAAAGGATTTTTTTAACGGTTGTCCTAACACATTTAATACACCTAATTTATTATATATATACATATACTAACAATTATTACTATCTTTGCATTTATATATGTTTTATATACAAAGAAATAAGTTTGATGTATCTTAGGTTTAGGGTGTTTTTAGTTTTTCATTTAATAAGTTAAGTAGATATTTGCACAAAATAATCATGTCCGCTGCCTATGGCTCAGTGGTAAGGGCTTCTTATAACAAACACAAGGTTTGGTGTTCGACTCTTGGCAGCTGCAATTTGGAATTTCAGTTTGAAAAGTTTCAAAAACCGTCGGTTCACGGTCTAAGCAGGTTTTTCCGGTTCACCCGAGTCATCCGGTTTCCAGCGGTTCTTGACTACTCTCCGGGTTTAGCTCTAGACCGGACCGTTGGCCTGTCCGGTTCGCGGTCCAACCGGACCGTTGTATGTAGTTTAAAACTTTGGAGTGTTTTTTTTTTTTTTTAAATTACTGTAAACAAGATTGTAAAAAACTTTTCTAATAAAAACAAGTCTAAAAAACATGCTTTCAAGCAGACCCAATTTTAACTTGAATAGATAGGTTTCATTATATTTTGAGGTATTTTTTTTGTGTTTATTAAAAAATTATGCTAACAATATATATTGTTTGAGTACTAGATTATTTGAAATAATTGTTGTAATATTTTTGTGTAATATGATGTGATAAGATAAAAAAGTGATGAAAAAAATTAACAAATAAGCGCCATCTGAACCTAATAACTATGAGTGTGTTTGGACAGCCAATTATTTGGCCAAATATATTTGCTGACATCACCATTACAATTTCCAATACGCCTTTTTATCTTCCCAATTACCTTTTTATCTCACATACATCACATCACAAAAAGTGCTACAGTAAAAATATTTCAAATAACTTACCATCCAAACACACTCTATATTATCTTGCACAGCCACCAGAGCCACCATTACCGCCACCAGCAGTCCACCACCACCGTCCCCATCTGCAATTCAGTACACAACTAGAGTACGATAATCGATGTCCCCAAAGAAACTCCATCAATCTCAAATGCCGGTGGCCAAGGCTGCCTTAGCCCCAAATATTCCCGAAGAACTCACAGTCGACATACTCTTACGTCTTCCGGCGAAATCCATCGGTAAATTCAGGTGCGTCTCGAAGCCATGGCGATGTCTACTCTCCGACCCACTATTCATCACAGCCCACCTCACTCTTCATCTCTGTTACCCCCAAAAACTCATCTTGTTTTCTTCGTCCCCTGTTCTTCCCTCTTCACGCAGCATCTACACCCTAACTTTCACCACCGCTGACAAGCCTGGTTCCGAAGCCGTTTTGGAAAAGCTCACCCTTTCAGAGAACATTTTAGAGAACCCATCTTCGAAGTACGCCTCAATTGTCGGTTCTTGCAACGGGTTGGTGTTGGTGTTAGGATTCAGAAGGGAGTTAGGCTTACGGGATACCATGTATTTGATAAACCCTACAACCATGGAGGTAGTGAAATTGGCCGCTAGCCCTTTGGTTCGGAAGGCTGTTCTAATTGGGGGTGCTTTGGGTTATGATAGCTCTAATGATGATTACAAGATCGTTACTGTCTCGTGTGATGATTCCACAGGGAATGAAACTTCTGTTGATGTTTTTAGTTTGAGGAGTGGATCGTGGAAGAGAATTAATAGTTTGCCTTATCATCTTAATTTTTGTTCTTGGGTTTTCTTGAATGGTGCTATACATTGGTTGGCTTGCTCTGATTCTGATTCTGAAGATTATTCAGTAATAGCTTTTGATTTGACTAGCGAGAAATTTGATCCAGTGCCAATTCCCAGAGGTGAATTTGATCCTATTAAGCTTGTAGATTTAGGTGGATGTCTTGCAATTGTTGTGAAGCAAACATATCATCAGATGGATATTTGGGTGATGCAGGAGTATGGCATTGGACAATCGTGGACTAAGTTTAGTGTTGCTACACCTAACTCCTTTTATTTGAATAAAGTTGTTTGCCTATTGGGGGATGATAATGTTGTTGTTTTGAATGTTGAGGAACAGAAATTCGTTGTGCATAACTTGACAGAGAACACTAGGAGGGATATGGTGGTTGCCGGCATTGGGGGTCACTTGAGACAACTTATTGGCTTTTCTGAGAGCCTTGTGTCGCCTATTTACTACTGTCAGAATTGGAGAGCAACATAATCTTGAGGGTTGACGGTTCATTATAAGGTAAAAACTTGCAAGCCTGTTGAATTGTGTGTTAATCTTAGTTCGGTTGTCATTGAATTGTTGTGGTTAGATGGATGACTATATGAGTTTAAAAAGGATTTGATAATGGTTTTGTTATACTTTTGTTGATGTTGCAATCATTGACCAGTTTGTACGTTGGTGATTTTGTTGAACGAAAACATTCTGAAATATGAAATTTGACTTAGAAGGTTCAAAACACGATCTTAGATTGATTGAAGTCGAAGAAATTGGAAATGAAATTGCTTCTTCATTGGGACAGCATTGTAGTGTCATTGTATAGTGTATGAAGTGGGGTTGTTGGAACCTCTCTGTGTCAAGTACGAAAGCTGAATTCGACCACTTGCTACTTTGTAGACAAAGGGGTAAAAGAAAGCTAAAATGACTTGTGGATAGTGTTCCCAAGTTCACAGTTCTAAAGAGTTAAATCTACTTGGTATTTCTGAATGCTATTTGGTGTCCCTGCATCTTTTCTTATATATAGATTGTGGCTATAGTTATAGAATGGATCTATTTTAGTTGACTGCCCTCTTCTGTACTAGTCAATGGATTTGCTAGATAAAAGCTACTGCTTTGGATAAGTGTTTTAGCACCATGTAGGATGCGATCGTACTGTTAAGGCGCATCCTTGAAATTAAATTCCAAATTGCCCTAGATTGAGCGGATGTTTTTCTTTCATCCGTGGTATCCCATGACCTGACAATAAGATGTGAACAAGAAGGAAGTTTTTTGCCTCCCGTAATTCAAAATCTGCATATTTTGAGGTTGAGCAACTTAATGGAAGTTTGACAGTATTTTCTTGCCTTTGATCTGATTTTATGTGCTGATCAGCTGATGTGAATGCAACTGATTCATGATTTCAATTATCATGGTGGTGTACTGAAACTCACAATTTTGCCAGGCCATTTCTTAGACACATACAGTAGGAATATAATGCCGCCTCTCACTTCAAGATGGAGCAACATACAGTAGATGTTGGTTTTCACCTGAAGAGGACGCTCACTGCCTTCAAGGGAGGAATGTAAACTGCTATTTGCTTTGCGTACAATCGTCTGCACCCCTTGTTAGTTGCCTGCCCTCAAGTGCAAATATTGCTTGTTTGATTGAGTTGTAAAGAGCAAAAGCAAAGTGTTCTATATTTTCATATCATACCGTGCAAGCAAGAACTTGGAAGTCTTTGAGAACTTTGGTTGACAAATAATATCTTCCACCTTTGACCTGTCATGCTTGTATCAAAATAATGTGAATTGAAAGGTAAGCATAAAAGCAAATTTGTTCTTTTCTATCATGTTACATGATACAAATGGTCATTAAAACAATAAAACTTATTGGCTGTTGGGGTAACTAATAACCGAGGGAACAAGCATAACTGCATAAGCAATTGAAAACCACACTATTGAGCTGCTTACAGTTATAAGTTTATGAAAAGAGCGTTACTCATACTAAACTTTTTTCCTCTCCTAAATCAATTCTACAAGGCTAAAATTATGCTTTCAATTCACTTTTAATACGCTTTCCGTCCCACTTCGATAGTTCTGTTTTCCTTTTTTGTCTGCTCCAAATTGTAATCCACTTTCCAATTGAAAAATGTAGTTGTATTTTAATTTTTCTAAAATACTCTTATTCAATGTAAGTTGTTGTTACTATAAACCTATCCCATTTAATGAGGGTTGATTCTTTTTTTATCATCAATTTAAGTTTTCATAAAGTTGTACCATATTTAATGTGAGAGTATTTTAGGAAAATAGCAATCTAAATTTACTTTTCCAACAAAATTAACTGCTTTTTCTTAAACTGTGTGAAAAAAGAAATGGAACTATCAAAGTGGAACGGAGGGTGTAGCTTTTACGATGCCAATTTGGGCCACATGAAAAGATAAAAGATACTGCATGTGTTTGGGTTGAGTTTTATGGGCAAAACATTTTTTGGTTGCATCGCATGTACTTTTTAATATATTTTTTTTATCTTTTTAATGCTTTTTTACTTATATATATTATATTATAAAAAATGTTATAGTATTTTTTTTAAATTTTATTCCAAATAATTTCCCATTCAAACAAAAAAAAACAGAATTTCAGCTCCTGTGCCCCCTGCTGTGTGCCGACATTCAATAGGAGTTGCACCTATGTTTTTGAGCCTATCGTATTCGCCAATTCTCGAAACAACGCCACCACCTTCCTCAACCACCACCACCATCCATCTCCCCCATCTGCAAAATCTATGTCCCTAAAACAGTTGGATGGATCCCAGCTGCCGGTGTCGACGGCAGACCTGGCCCCAAATATTCCCCAAGAACTCATTATCGACATACTCTTGCGCCTCCCCGCAAGATCCGTCGGCAAATTCAGGTGCGTTTCGAAGCCATGGCGTTCTCTTCTCTCCGACCCACTATTCATCAAAGCTCACCTCACTCTCCACCACCATCAGCCCCAGAAATATATCCTTATTTCTTCTTCCCCTCCTATCGAAAAATCAACTCTGTCCACCCTAACTTTCACCCCTACTGGCAGCGCTGACCACGATGGCGTTTTAAAACGGCTCACACTTCTAGAAAACCAATTGACTGACGCCGATATTGTTGGTTCTTGCAATGGGTTGGTCTTAGTTTCAGAATTCAAGATGAAACATCCCTTTAGACGGCTAAGTAACCTTGATTTTATGTACTACTTGATAAACCCCACGACCATGGAGCTCGTGGAATTACCCGCGAACCCTTTGGCTCCGGTGGCTCTTCCAATTGGGGGTGCTTTCGGTTATGATAGGTCTAGTGATGACTATAAAGTCGTCACGTTATCGAATTGTGAACGGGTTACTAATGATGTTCATCTCGATGTTTTTAGTCTGAGGAGCGGAACTTGGAGGAGAATTGACGTTTTGCGTTATCGTCTTCATTTTCTTTCTGGGGTGTTTCTGAATGGTGCTATACATTGGTTGGTGAAGTCTGACGTTTCACTAATTTTAGCTTTCGATTTGAGTTGCGAGGAATTAAAGCTCCTGCCACTGCCTTTTTCTCGTCCAGAAAACTGTTTGTTCTCTCGTATTGCAGTTCTTGACGGATGTCTAACACTGGTTGCAACTATGGGTTATTGTATTGATGTTTGGATGATGAAGGAGTATGGTGTTGAAGAATCTTGGACCAAGTTTAGTGTTACTACACAAAACTATGCGGCTCTTCCTTTACCTATTTGCCTGCTGGGGGACGATGATCTTGTTTTGTATGTGAATCAGAAACTCGTTGTGCATAGTTTGACAGGAGAAACTAGGAGGGATATGTTATTTGCTGGAGATAAGTTTAGAGATGTTAAGGCCTTTTGCGAAAGTCTTGTCTCGCCTATTTGCTATTGTCAGAAATGAAGGCCAACAGAACCTTGGGGTTTGACGGTTGGAAATCTATGCATGCTTATTTGGTAAAAGCCTATTCAATTATGTGTTAATCTTATTTAAATAGTCATTAAATCTAAGTGGTTAGATGGTTGGCTATATAGCTACCCAGTTTCCTGTTGGAAAAATACTTTTGTGAAAGTTACAATGATTGACAAGTTTGTACTAGATGTGATGTAATACTTGCTGATTGTATTGTACCAAAGTACCGGAGGCCAAAATTTCGCCCTGGAATTCAGTTCCTTCTCTTGAAGATAAGTCACGATAAGCCCCTTTTGTCATCTTTACAAATCTCACAAAACCCCTGTGATATCTGTCCACGCAAGACAGATTCTGAAACTTTGGAGCGTTTCATATGGGAATGTCTGAGCAGACAACTAGTTTGGGGAAATGTTTCTTCACATAGAACACATCAAAGGGACTTTCCTGTATTCAGGATGAGTAAAGGTTTTTTAACTAATATCTTTCATGTCTATACTCTCTGTAGTATTCAGCTTGCCAAGAATAATTTTATCTTCAGAGGCTAACTGTTTGATTCCACATCAATTTTAGCATAGCAAGGTGGTGGTACAACAATTGTGACTCATCACATGCCTTATTATATCTCACTTTCCCTGCACATCAAAATTTTCACTGGTGTCCTCTCATGGGCTGGCTAACTTTAAATGTTGATGGTGGTTCTCTACCAAACCAGAATGCTGATATTAGAGGGCTATTCAGGAATCATTGTGGTGATTTGTTCTTGCTTTGGCAATGAATATTGGTGTTAATTCTAATATGGTAGCAGAACTACGTGCTTTAAGGTTGGGGCAAGAATTACAGTGTCTCAAAATATTTATAATGTTTTAATTGAATCTGACTAAGAAATTTTGGTTGATTGCATCGGGGAGAAACAAAACTGCTAGCTGAGGCCATTAATATTGGACTGCCAAAGTTTGATGGAGGAAATTGACAACTGTAGTATCTCTTTCTTAATCCTTATTAGGGGAATGTAATCATGGTGCTGAGGTTTTGTCTAAACATGCTTTGTCATTAGAACTATCTCTAGGTTGTGTGTTTTTCTAGTTTCCTTTCTACCGTTTCTTTTGACTGCACTCAGGCAGGACTTGTGTATGCTTTTGTAAAGGAGGAAGGTTATCTAAGGTAAGAACCTTAATGTGGTGTATATACACCTCTTTAGTGATTTGCAAAAAATTAAAGGTTGATATTTGATCTGGCAGAGCCCAAACAAGTTTGTATATTGACTGAAGTTGAAAGACATTGGAACTGGAATTGTATTTCTTGAGTGGGATAACATGCAGTGTGATTGCATGGCGTACAAAATGAGGTTGCTGGAGTGTCGAGTAAGCAAAGCTGAATGCTAACACTTGCTGCTTTGCAGACAAAGTGAAAAACAAAACTAAAAGACTTGTCGTGAAATTGTTGCTGTTTCTTGAATAGTAACTTTGATCATGCCTGTTCTCGAATTCATTGTTCTGAACTGTCATGCTACTCATATTTCTGCATGCCTTTTGGTCTCCCTCCATTTTTTCCTGGAAAATTTTCCCGACTGTAGTTGCAGATAAGATCTGTTTTCATAGATGCCCTCTGTTGTGTATCAGTTACGAGATTTGGTAGACAAAAGCTACTGGTTTAAATTAAGTCCTTTAGTGCCATGTACATGCAATTGTACTCTGAAGGTGCATGTCTGAACCAAGTTCCAAACCGCTCTGGATCGAGTAGACGTTTTTCCTTCCTCCATGTTATCCAATGACCTGACAATGAGATCTGAGCAAAGAGGGATGATTTTGTCTTGCAAATAACAAAATCTGCACATTTTCAGGTCAAGTCGATGGAAGTTTGACATTCTTTTTTAGGATATGAACTGATTTTTTGTGCTGATCAGCTGCTATACTGGCTCATGATTTGAATTAGCCTGCCAATCCTTTTGGACTTTGTGATGGCATTACTTACCATTAGACTGGTTGTGTGCTGAATTAGCCTGGTTGCATATTTGCATTTCTCACGTTAAGAGATGAAGAAATATAAATTAAAATGCTTTAGCCCTGTTTTTTATGGTGTTGTTCATTACATGTTGCTATCTTTTAGGGCATTACCATCAAGGATTTATACTTTAAATCTGTTTTTTCACTTCTTTCTACTGCTTCACATGGTTCTGTTTTTTTACTTCTTTCTACCCTGTTAAGTGTACAGCATTATCCCTACTGATGAAAGGATGCCTGCATGGCTGCATTGTCCTAATTACCAATATGACAACTAAACCCTTATCACTTAAAATTATAATTTTTTACAATTCCGAAATTATCATTTCATTCACTAAAAACAATTTGCCATAACACTATTCTTTCAATTATTTTCCTAATTCTTTTTATATTCATTGCATTTTTTTAAAAATAATTTGTACTGCATTAAGTATATTTAAACAATAATGAATTCATGAAACCTATCAAGTCAGGTAATAGAGTTAAGAGTTCATGTGTACTTCAAAACTGTTACTACACAGATGATTCAACATAATAGATATGCATCCTGTAAAAGAAACTGAAAATGCAAAAGAAGCATCCAATGATCCATAAATTTGCATAATGTTTAATTAGCTCCCAAAATCTCCAATGGAGTTACATATAAGTGCTGAAATATTAGCAATTTTTGCAAGGAACATGAATAGTACTATAACAATTTTGATTGTTATATGTTTTAAAAAATAAAAATTAAGATAAGAAAAGGTGGGGAAAAAAAATGAAAATTACACATTACAGATTTTTGTTGAAAACATTTAGAAGACAAGATAATTGGAAAAATGGTTAAAAGAACAGTGCTAAGCAGATTAAAAGTAAAGGGTTTTAATGTCATTTTCATCTTTAGAGTGTGGGTCTAGGATGTGA